CCAGCCCTGGACGCAGTGCTGCAGACGGGGCCTCAGAGAGCAGAGCACAGAGGGACGATCGCCTCCCTGGCCCTGCTGCCCCCCCTCTGCTGATGGCGCCCAGGATCCCCTTTGCTTTCCCAGCTGCAATCACACCCTGCTGGTTCAGCTTTTCACCCCTGGGGACCCCCAGGTCCTTCAGTGCAGGGCTGCTCTCAATGGCTGCTCCTTTTATTCTGCATCAATGCCTGGCATTCCTGCGGCCCAAGGGCCAAACGTTGCACTTTGCTGCGTTGAACCTCACTTCATTCACCTGATCCCACCTTTCAGGTCTCTTGAGGAGCATTTCTCCTCATGGGTCCCCCTGTGTGCTGCAGCTCTTCCTAGAGAGGGAAAGGGCTCCGCTTTGTTCCTCAGCCCTTCAGGATCTGCTGCCTTCTGGCTTGAGCAAGGGCAGAAAGCTGCCCTGCCCGCGTCTTCATGTGATCCTATGGTTCACAGGAGGAGGCTGCTTCAGAAAGCCCTCTGTGGAGCACTGAGCCACGTCAGGAGTGATGATATGAACTTTCTTCTCGTTTCTTGCCAGGGGTGGTGCACGTGTCGCTCTCAAAATCATTAAAAACGTGGAGAAGTACAAAGAGGCCGCCAGGCTGGAGATCAACGTGCTGGAGAAAATCAACGAGAAGGATCCCGAGAACAAGAAGTGAGTGCCCTGGTGTCAGCAGTACAGGAGGCCAGGCATTGGCTCAGCCTGGCTTCAGGGTGGGTGAGAGGCGCTGGGTCCTTTTGCAGCTCAGTTTCTGCTTCTTGGTGGCATTTTGGGTCGGGTTCTTTGGGTAGAAACGCAGCCAGGAAGAGGGAAGCTGCAGCACGGGGCTGAGCGCTGCCTGCGGATCCTCTCTGCATCAGAGCCTTTCTCCCCAGTCTGTGCGTCAGGATGTTTGACTGGTTTGACTACCACGGCCACATGTGCATCTCCTTCGAGCTGCTGGGGCTCAGCACTTTTGATTTCCTGAAGGACAACAATTATCTGCCTTACCCCATCCACCAAGTGCGGCACATGGCCTTCCAGGTGTGCCAGGCTGTGAAATGTAAGTGCTCCCTGCTTTTCAACCTGGACGTCCCAACCCCGCAGCTCCCGGTGCCGGTTCTGCCCTGGGGGTTTGGAGCAGTGCAGGTTGGGCTGTGATGCTGCTCTGCCGGCTCTGAGGCTCAGCCTTCCTGCCCTGCTGGTGTCGGCTGTGTGCTTGGAACGAACCCTTTTCCTTTTCCTGATGTTTTTGATGCGTGTGGGCTGGCGGTGACCGAGGGCTGTGCGTTCTGCTGGTCAATACGATCGAGCTTTGTGCTTCTCTTGAAGCGTTTTGGCCCGGATGACCCCAACTGTTCACATCCAGCCCCATCCGTGGGCCAAACGGGCGCCGGTTGGAGCGAAACAAACCGCTGTTAGCAGCCGTGCTTTGCTTCTGCTTCTCAGCTCCGACTCTGTTTGCTTCCTCAGTTCTGCACGACAACAAACTCACTCACACCGACCTCAAACCTGAGAACATCCTCTTTGTCAACTCCGACTACGAGCTCACCTACAACCTGGAAAAGGTAACGCTCTGCTTCAGAGCTCGGGGCTCGGCTCCTTGCTTTCCTGCCCTTCGCAGGCAGAGGGGGTTGGAGCTGTGCTGGCTGATGGGGGGAGCTGTGGGGAGCTGTGGGGAGCTGTGGGGAGCTGTGGGGAGGGGTTGGAGCTCAGTCTCGGTCTCGGAGCTCCTGGGTAACCAACGTCCTCCTCCATCACGCAGAAGCGGGATGAGCGCAGTGTGAAGAGCACGGCCATCAGAGTGGTGGATTTTGGCAGTGCCACGTTTGACCACGAGCATCACAGCACGATTGTGTCTACCAGGCACTACCGGGCCCCTGAGGTCATTCTGGGTGGGTACTGCATGCTCTGAGCTCGTTGGCCTCCCGAATCATTCAGTAGCCGACCCTGGGAGTTCAGTAGCTTAGCCTGGGAGATCAGAGTTGCTCCATTCGTGGAGCCAAACCTGCGGCCCTGGTTTGGAGGTTGGAGGCAGGCAGCAGCTTGGATCTGGGTGTTTGGCACTGCTGTCAGCTGGGCAGTGCATCAGGAGAGCGGGCTGAAATGGGAATCGGTTTTCTGATGGCTTGTTTGCTCTTGAAAGGGTGAAAGAGAGAGAAAGCGAGAGGGGAAGGGGGGAGGATTTGGAATCCTGGGTGGTGGCTGCATCTCTTCTTCACAAAGCTTTGTTGTTTTAGAGCTTGGCTGGAGCCAGCCCTGCGATGTCTGGAGCATCGGCTGCATCATCTTTGAGTATTATGTGGGTTTCACCCTGTTCCAGGTGAGAACTGTGCGCTGCGTGGCTTCCTCACAAGTGGTGAAAGAGGACGTTGGCTGCTTCCCAGCGCAGCCTGCGGCCTCTGGGACCCATGGAGTTCCCTCCATCACTGCAGTGTTGTAGAGATGACCAAAGCGTTGGCCGGCGAGGGGCTCCTGAGCTGGGGATCCTCCAGGGCTTGGAGGCAGAATGACTGGAATGTGTTCCATGCTTTTCCTTCACGTTTATCTCCCTCAGACACACGACAACCGGGAGCACCTGGCCATGATGGAGAGGATCTTGGGGCCAATTCCTTCTCGGATGATCCGGAAGACCAGGTGAGCGAATCCTGCTGGGCTCTGCAGCCTTCCCGACTCCTTCCTACGCCGTGCTCAGCGTTTCCCTTCGAGGCGTCAAGCTTTGCAGCTGCCTGTTGAGCCGGCCCTGCGGCCCTGGCGCTGCTGTGCTGCAGTTGGGTGCTCGGGTGGCACCTGCAAGTCGTCCCCACCTCTCCTGACAGGAAGCAGAAGTATTTCTACCACGGCCGTTTGGACTGGGATGAGAACACCTCTGCCGGCCGTTACGTTAGGGACAACTGCAAGCCGCTGCGGGTAAGGTGGGGCGGGTGGGAGCACCGGATTGCTTCATCCTTTTGTCATTGCAGAGCTTTACAGTGCCAGCCCCACTTCTGAAGATGGTTCCTGTGGGCAAGGTTAGGCCACTGAAAGGCTCAGACCAGCGTCCTGCTGAAGGGAGCCTTGGCTGGCCCACATAAAACTAGGAAGACTGCGGCAGCCTGAGCTTAACGTGAAGTTGGATGAGGAGGAGGGCAAGGAGAC